AAGTGGGAGAAAGATCAATGCAGAAAGGTCATTCAGAGCATTTTCAACAATATTTTTCAGTTCCAAGAATCTATTTAACATCATGAGCATAGAGTTCCACCTGGTACAAGTGTCCATAAGTAAAGATAATTCTTTTCTCTTTTGAGTCTTGCATAGTTTCTAGAAATGATCATTTTTAACTGGAGATTTACAAAAAATTTGAACAACTTTCCTTATTTTTCCAATCATGCCTCGAAAATCATTTGCAAAATAAATGTTCTCAGAGTTTTCTTCATGCCAGTTTGCACTCCATGACTCTTCTCCTTCATCATCATCTACTGACTCTGCGTGAATGTTAGCTTCTTCAGTTTCTGCTTCTTCAACTGTACTAGACTTTTTATGAACAACAGCCAAATGAGTTCCATAACTGTGACAAAGCTGGTGGTTCACACTCATCAGCTGTCCCATCTTCTTCATCACAGAAGTGCCATCCTGAAAATAGCAATATCTTCTTTTAGATCCATATAAAAGATCTTAAGCTTGTTGGTGACAATCTCAATTGTCTTGGTAGATGGCATGCTGCCCTGGACTCTTATCATACCAAGTCCATAAACTTTTTTTCCTGTAGAACAAATATTGAGGCACATATACCTTCTATTTCACTTAAAGGTCCATTCATCCAGTGACAAAGAAAATCTCTCATCTTCATCTCTTTTTTTTTCCCCCTTCTTTCAACCCTCATTTCTTCTGGAATCTGTTCTCCATAAGAAATTACCTTTCCCTTGATACTTTTCTCCGTTAGAGGCATCTCCAATCCTTGGGCTTTCCACCCATTCTTGATTTCTGAGCTGTTGGCTAGGGTGGCAAAGGGAATGTGGTTTACTGCAGCCAAATTGGCAAGAACTAATTCTGGGGGGGGGAGATTAGTTGGTCTTTGGAAAGTTGGATGGAACTGATAGTTGGGTGTCAGTAAATGTGGAGACAGAAGGCATTGAAAAGATGGCTTGAGCAGTTTTCAATTTGTGCTTGTTTTCAAGATGATACCTGAAGCTTGGTGTTGTTTGATGGACTTGAAGGTTGCTTCACAGTGTATGCATTTCAATACATTTGTAATTTTTGTACCACTTTGGTTAGCAAGGAAATGCTTCCAGACTTCAGAGCATTTTTTTTAACGGAATCCATGTACAATCCATTTTTACAATGTTTCCTTCCGAAAAAAGAAAACAGAATGTCAGTCATTAACTGATTAGCCACTTTATGCACGTAAAATGGTATCAAGATCAATCATACGATAAAATTTTAAGAAAACTGAATTTTTTTTACATATGCTCAATATCTACAATGTTTAGAGGATATTAAAGAAAACCTTAATAGTAATTAATGAAATTTGAAAACGTTTTGCCCATAATAAAGGTTAGCATAATATAGATAACATAAATTTTGAATGAATATAATAATGTATTTGATACTAATAAGTAAGTGAAAAATAATTATTTCTAGAAACAAAATTAAAAAATTTAATTTAGGGAAATTTACCCACAAAATTAATAATTTTCTACTAGCAATAAAGATAAAACACCATTTTTTGACGAAAAACAGTTTTAAAATGCTTGAAATTGTAATATTAAGATAAGTTTGACTTATTCAGCTTAAATGAACAGAAAACATGATAAAAGTTTTAAGGTCATTATGGATTATCAAAATATTTATTAAAAACAATATCATAGGGTTTTTATATATATATTTCAGCTTGATCAAAATAACTTAAAATTTTTATGTGCCCTTGCAAGGAAATGCATTATACTGCACATAATGTACATATGATATTCAAACAAAGATAATACACTGTAAATACTGCAGTAATGTAATTTTCTAATTCAAATGATATGAGTGGTACTAGATCTACCACAAATGTAGGCTATTAGTTTATGCAATTATACCTGATTAAGTCTCAAGCACCACTGATGATTGACTTACTGCCTATAATGTTATGTTAATATTCAACTATCTTATAAAGATCGTATAATATCTTTACTTACCCAGTTTAGCCTGATGAGTATGAATTTACACAGTTAGGAGTAAGGTGCTCACTGAGATAAGTAACAGTCTAAGCCAACTCTTCACCATGTGAGCACAGAGTGGGAATAATTAACTGGTCAACTGACTTAGTTATCATTTTTGCAAAAGAGGGATGCTGGGTTTCCTTGTGCCATTATTACTTCATTTCACACAGCAAAAACCAAAACTGATTTATGAAGTGTACGAGTTTAAGTTTTAAACATTTTTTTTCAAAATAAATTTTTATTGATCAATGATTAAATTTTAAAAACTAATTAACCAAAACTATGCACTAGAGGGTAGGCTGATTGGAAGAAACATCCAATCACCGTCCCTTTGGCTGCTCGGGTGATTGGATGAAATAATAGGAACTTGTACCTGTAGTAAAGTGTGGGAGGCATGCAAGGTACAATTATCAGAGTAATGATTCCCAGAAGAAAAAGATGATACAGGGATCATGTGGCCAAAAGTTCAAATTGGAGACATGTGAGAGCTCTAAGAAGTAAAAAAAAAGGTTTAAATCTGGATGAGGAACTGGATGAGAATGATGACTGATAAAGAAGATTCAGAAGATATCTGTAAGAGCCAGAGAAAGAAATAGATAATGGCCAGGGAAGAGATGAAAGGTTGTGTATAAAATTGTCCAGTAACTGATAAGATAAATAAGAAGGATTCAAAAAGGAGAACAGGTATAGAAAAAGTTATTGAACCAATCCAGACTAAGAGTATCATACCAGGGTTAGAGATGAAAAAAGTGAAAGCTAGATGTTGAAGAGAATTGAAAAGGCAGTGATGAAAGGACTTCTAAAGTGGAAATAAATCCACTGAAATAGTCAGAAGGTTGGCAAACCACTCTGTGGAAAGGACCTGGTCTAGGCAAGGCAGGCAATCCAGCACCAAGGTTGATACTCTCAAAAAATGACAGACTGACAACAGAATATGGTGGTCATAGGTTCAAAAGAGAAAGTCTTGTCCAAAGATATCATATGAAGTCCAGAGAGCAAGTACTTTGCTGTTAGTGGTTGGAAAGTGATGGAAAGATCATTGAGCAGCCAAAATCTCAAGGACATTAATAAAGAGACTGTTCATCTGGAAATTGGACTCCTAAAATGGAGCATGTGTTCAGAATTACATCCCACCTGAATACTGGGTGAGAGTTTTTTTTTTCTTTCTTTTCTAGATCTAGTTGTTGTCAAGTGCAAAGTTACACAATGTGCTACCTGTGCTGCATTCATCAAAGGTACTGAAACCTGAATATTTATGCATAATTAAGCCCCCAGATGCCCTGCTGAGCCACTAATAGCCTCAAAACAGATGCAAGTTCATGCAAGATGGGGAAAGAAGGATGCCTAGGATAGTGTAAGGTCAAGTGTGCCACCATAATGGCAAAAGATGAAAAGGAGGAGGTAGTAATCTAAGAGAAGACAGCATATCTCTGGATATAATGCATTAATCAGCCAGAGTCCACAGAAGGGTAACACATGAATGGATCTGAGAAGAACAATGGTCTCAAGAGAAAGTTCCTAAAAAGAGACAAATCCTTTTGCAGAGAAAGATGAGGAGACATAAAGGTTTTTTTTTGGAATCATAAGCTCCATGTCTTAAAGACATAAAGGAGAAGGCTGAGGCCCACCTCATATATGAGTGTAGAAAGTCTCCCAAGAGAATGAATTACTGGGTGAAGGTCAAGATAGAATTGAAGACCCCAAACCAGTCACTATTACAGTAGTGGATTGCTCTTGTTGAGAAGTGTCAAAACCTCAGGAGGTAATAAACATTGGAATATGAATTCATAATCCAGATGAGGCAGTCTTACATATTTTTTTTTTATATACATAAAAGTTGGCCATGGTACATAGGTCTAAGTCATTGGCATAATGACGACACTAAACAGCACTTAGTGAAACTTGTACACTGGGTTAAAACAACAGTTGAAAGGTACTGTCAAAGAAAACTTACCACAGTCAATGAAACACATATTCAAACTTAAAAGGAAAAATCAAATTGAAGATAAATCAAACCAAAGTTCTAATGAAATGTTTAAAATGTGGTATTTCTTTCTTTCTCATAACCAAGAAAACTACAAGAAGAAAGACTACACACTACTAATAGCGACAAAAGTTTAAAAGAATTTGTATGAAAATTCTGTTAATTCTTAAGAAAAAACATCTGAATAAAGGAGCACCAAGGAAAATAATGAGCTTTTGTTCAAATCCTAGTGTCATAGGAATTACTATGCATGGAGGAGTTGTCACCCTCCTATTGGTGGAGGGCTATAATATAATAATGATTACATCATAGCCCACACAGTCCATGTTAATATGTTTGTAGCATATGCAAAAATCTTCTTTTCAGTGGTGTGAGGTAATAGCTCTTTCTGAAATGGTATTATTACACACTAAAAATCCTGGCTGTCTTACTCCGAGATTCAAGGTTTGGATTTTAATGAAAAATCATTCAAATAGAAAAGCAAACCTATGCAATTCGACAATGAATGCAAAAGTATACTACACGACTCTTCAGAGAAATGCAAAATTGAGCTTGCTTTACACTTTTCACATGTGACTGTGTTCCATAACCTTTACAACTTAAATATATATGTATGTAGAACAGAAAAAAAGTTTGCAAGCTAAATTTAGCATCTTTTTATGTGACTTTTATTTCTTGAGTTTTAACTTCTCATTTTCTGATGTATTAAAGACAAATAACATATCTTTTGCCATAACCCAATTTTTTTTTTCACAAGCTGTGATATCAGGAAAATTATTAAACATACAACACTATATGATTTACTCAAAAGCATATAATGTTTATTGAAATTATTAACATCTTAGATTAAACAATTGTACTTAGCTGTTTTCTGTAGCACAAACAATAAAAATATTTATATCCAATTCTTTAAGTTATTCCAAGTGTAAAAGAAAACATTCCCAACTGTTGACTTGATTCTTGAACTTTTTTACCTTTGGTATTTTTCTTGCCACAAGAGAAGTTCCTGCCGAAGGGCTTCCCACTCTCCATTAGGAAATTGTTGAGCATGGTTGATAACACTAGTGTCCATTTGAACAATGTGGTACTCTCTCTCAAGAAGCTGGCATTTCAACTGTTCTATTTCTTGGTGCAGGTGTAGACTGTAATAAAAGATTATTAAAAATTGAGACTTATTTACAGAAAACATTTTCACCCAAAAAGCCTTAAGAGCAGTAGCCAAAAAAAGCTCAATAACAACCCATATGAACAAAAAAAAGGATGAAGGCAAACAAAAAGAAAGACTTACTAAAGAGTATACTGTATCTACCCACCAGTAAGTATTTTATGTTTTCAAATATACTTGAGATCAATCAAAAATTAAGTTAATTAATGTATCTAACAAAACAATAATAAATTCTAACTTGAGCATTCCAACATTGTGAGTTTTATATACAAGATTTTTTTAAACAAAATATTAAAAATAAAAACTATATACTTGTCTCTAAATCAATCTACTCAGAATTATACTTAAAGGTTGAGATGCAAATTTATCAATCCATTTGCAATATTCAACAAGAAGCTGAACTTTGATGTAGATCATTTCAGGTATACAAATAAAAATATATAAATAAATATTTGCTGAAAATGTGTATGTTTCAGTGACTTTAAATGTATGCTAACTATGAATGACTGAGAACCATAACAACTTCTAATTTTGTAAGCTGATCCCAGCAATTTATAACTCAGAGATATTCATGTAAAAGAAAAATAGGACAAAAAAAATAAAAATCTCTTATATTTATAGTCTTTTCATTTAATTCTATAGATGCAAAGTCTTAACTCAGAATTTTTGGCAATGCATTAGTCATGATAATAGGTATATTTATGCAAAATCTTTAGCAAAATTTCAAAAGAATGTTAGCCACTTCCTTCTTGAAATCCAGACAAATCAAATTTAAAAATTTCATAGTTATTTTTGTTGTTTCTTAAGTAATAAGTACATGTAAAAAAGTCATCAACTGTTTATATAATGATGGAAGGTTGACATACCAGGATGCACTCATCATTGATTTTTAAAAGGCAACTAGCAGATACAGATTTTAGATATACCTAGGTATTTCATATAAAACAAAAAATGCACTCCAATTAGAATATTTATAATTAGTGAAAAATTGTTTTTTCACACTTTCCATTTTCTAGAAGTTTTTTAAATGTCTTGGAGTTTGTATTTAATTCCTAATAGTTATACACACATAACTGAAACATGAATGGCATACGTCTAAGGTTGTGATTTTTATTCATTTAGTGTAAAAATGCCTATTTCAGTCATGGATAAAGTCCATTAGATTGCCAATGAATTTAAGGGGTTTTAATGAATTAAAACAGCCTAAAATATGCTTCACATGTTTGCAGGTCAAACTATTTGAAACTTCCTATTATAAAAAAAATAGAAAATCAATTTTTCTTACCTGTTGTTATTTACACAACTGTCACAAATACAGCCACACTCCTAAAGGGGAGGAACGAAAAAAATCACTGAAAACCCTATTCACTTCATTAAATGCAATAATCTAATTGGTCAATGTTGAATTTAGATCCCAAAATATGTTTAAATAACCACAGGCACAAAATTTATAAGAGACAGTTTTCACAGTTACACAGCACTAGAACCAAGCCTATATAAATGTTTTACTATCTCTTCAACATTTAATTACTGATCCCAGTTTTAAACATCAGTAACCAACCAGCTTAAACTTGCCATTCATTAGTATCATTAATGTCTCAATAACCATTGCAGCCAGATTATTAAAATAAAAACAGTAGAAAAAAAGGATTTTGTAGTAAAATACAAGTATTAAAATGCAATATACATATTTCATGCAAGCCAATATAACAGTTTTATAAAAAAAACAACAACAGGTAAACAGAATAAATAACAAGACAAAATGAAAAGAAATATAGAACAAACTGAGACTAAATACAAAGGTATGTGTACTGTAAGCTGAAGAATCTCATTGAATAAGTTATATATAGCTTTCTGACATATCAAATGTACAAAGTACCATAATTACATTGAAGTCAAATGATAACGCATGCTCAAATTTATTCACTCTTAATTAAATGAGATTAGATTGAATAACCATATAACATGAACTGATATATATATATATATATATATATATA